GGATTGTATGTTAGTAAACATATATTAATCACTTGATATGCAATTTTAGTCGCCCCTCTAGTTCATCAATTATCTCACTTAATTGTGGTCTTAACTCAGGATCACTAAGAATGCACTTTTTCCCCAAAGTACAAAGGAAGTGGCATTGGAGGTATGTACCAACTGCACAGATCACTCTTCCAAAAGAGAATACATCACTGGCATGTGAAGGTGGACTGGCACCACAGACAATTTCAGGAGCAATGTGACCATGCTAACTTTTGTAAAGTTTTTGTTCTTCAGGAGTGAAATGTTTCACAAGGGAACCAACTGCTGTTAAAGCTACACATTTGCCAAAATCAATTAATATGGCACGATACTCATTGTTTACATGTGAGATAAGGACATTATCTGCTTTGATATCTCTGTGAAGAAATCCTTGTTTATGTAAATAGGATATTGCCTGAGCCAACTGATTGATCAAGGTCAGCCAAATAACCTGTGAAAGGTTCAAACTTCTGCTCTTCAGTGCCAAAGACAATGTGTAAGGCTTGTCCAAAACATGGTAAATTAGGACGACACTAGATGGTAAGGCTTTGAAAGAGTACACATCCCAATAAGAAGAGGAAAATTTGCATGTTTGAACTTTAAAACATTTTACTCTGCTGTAGCAGAATAAAATGTTTTAACTGCAACAGGATTGCCCCTGTAAAACATCTTGTTGCAGCACCCAAACACACCAGAACCCAGATGTACCTTCACCTCCATTCCAGATTCATCTGGAATTCAATGACCTACATTTCAGCAAGACAAAAATTAATGTACTGTAAATCCTTTGTTAGCCCCCCTTTTCAGAGCAGGAAATAAATCATAAATAAATGCCTCTCTAAATGTTGTAATGTATTCATTTATTTAAACAGATTTTTAAATAGCGATCATGGTAACGTGGATGCAGTGACACCAAGGTCAGATCAGCAAATGTAGATGGAGTCACACTTTCAATATGGCTGCTTCATTTGAAGTTAAGAGTTTGAGATGATGGTAAAATTTATTCTAATGAGGAAGACTTGGTCAAACAGTGTTAGGAGGTTGATGCAGTGACTCATTCTCTGACAGGACCCTAAACAACCATCCCCCCCTCCTCCTCCTCCACTTTAAGGGTGATGAAAATGAGGATTAGATGATGCACCCGCTTAAAAACCTTTCCAGCCATGAAGATTTAAAATATAGTACACACCTTCCCTTGCGCTACAGATTGCCTTGGAATCAATGTCCTAGCCTTTCTTGAAGCCTCCTCTTTAATTTTTTTTTACGCTTGAGAATAAATGTGAGTGCCATCGATCTGAATAATAAATGTATTTTCTCGCTTGATACAGAAGCCAAAACAGAGGTCACATAATGTCTTTACTTGTACATTTTGTTTCATGAAATAATCAATAACACCTGGTCTCAAATCAGCTCCAGAGGTGTCAATTGTGCCACCAAGTTTACACCACCTTGCCAACACAAATGCTGATCTATCTCCTCTTGATTTAATGTAGCCAAAGAGATCACCATTGAATTTACAACAAGTATAACATTTGAGTCGTAACAGAGGTCATCAGACCAAAAATGTAGCATAGGATTTCTTTAGATGGGGAAGAACATCTACATCTATAGTGTCTCTTGAGTATGGTCCACAGCATGTGTACAAATAGAAACTGCTCTCAAATTTGCCACCAGTTCGCACATGACCAGTGGACAGCACATAAGCTTGGATAATTTCTCCAGACACCTGGTCCTTCTCAGTTAGACACTGTTCTTGAAGACTTCCTGATTGTTTTGAGTACAGTCTGTTAAGCAGAGGTTTAAATATATCTTGGAACTCAACAGGCAAAGGCAGATCCTTCATAAACTGACTTGATAAGAACTTGCGCATTAACTGTTCTCAACAGCACGTTGATTAGTTCCGTACTCACCAAGAATTCCATTATAGCGCTCAAAGCTGAACAGCCAAAATGAGTACACAGGTCCATAATCCAAGACACACTCAACAAGATGGGTATGCAGATGTATGTTTGGAGTTACTCTGTGTTTGCCATACAACTGCTCAAAACCCTGGCAAAACTTCAAAAGGTAGGAGTGGGCCAGCAATGCTTTTGTTTCTGTAAGAACAGTAGAGCACAGGCAAGAACAAGCCATGACAAAATTACGCCACACTTCCATGTCACTGCTGGGCAAGGCATTCCACAAGGCATGTATGGAAAAAAGAACTGTAAATGATTTCCACTGATCGGCTGTGAAGCCCCCATAACTGTTCTGTATTTTCTTGGGCATTCTTCCCACACTGGCGGGAACTTTAAGCTTGTCCATTTTTTCTTGTATCTGTTGCAAGTTATTCTTGTCAAGCAATGACTTCTCTGGATCTAACCATACATTCTTCATAATATGCTTAGCTGTCCCAGTAAACAGATTGTGCATTGGGTCAATAATGTGAAACCGAACACAATCAAAATAAGGCAACAACATTAATTCTGTATACCTTGTTCCAAACTGCTGTTCAAGGTTTGCACAGTCACCAGCAGTTGTTTGGTTCAAGATCTCCTGTGCTTGCAGTCTGTGCTCATTGTTACTCCTTGGAGGGCATGGTTCAAAGCCAGAAAAATCAATTTTGGTACCAACTGAGCCAGGGAAAAATTTCTTGCATTTTGAACAGCCTATATTTGATCCATGGCCAGTAAATCCACAAACCTTTCTCACTGCTGGGATGTCGCAGCCAACACAAAGAAGAGCAGCATGGAATTTGGCATTTGTAGTTGACCCATGTGCCTTGACACTTATGCCATCTTTCCACAGCACATTCAGTTCAGCTACGAGGGGCTGTAAGTATGAATTAATGTTGTGTTTTGGTTCATGGGGCCCAGGGATCACACCAACTAAGAAAACATTTTCTGGTTTGAACCTCTCAGCCCTGGGGAGGTTCATCAGAACCATATAGAGCACTCCAACACTATACACTGAATGCTTGAAAGGCTGGAACCAGTCAACATTGAGCATAAATGCATAGTTCCTCTGTGCTGCCAAAAATGCTTTCCCATCCACGTTCTGCCATTCCTTCCAGATACGTCCATCAAAGATATCTGCAAGGAATCCATCAGGGATACCCCTGCTTCGCCATAATTCACATTTATCGACAAATCCTGGCCTTTGAAGGAATTGACAGAGATTGTCAATGATGCTGTTATAACAGTACACTTTGTGTGGGTAAAGCTTAGTCCCCCCACTCTTTAAGGAAACTTCTTTTAAAAGTGGTTCACCACACTTGGTACGGCGGAAATGTTGCCGATGGTTTGGAAACTGAACAAAAGTACACTTCTTGGTGACTTTTCGACCGTAAACCAGTTCATAGCAGTCATCAAAATTGTACAAAGTGTGACACTTTGGGCACACAATGTATTTAATAAATCTGTCTTTGTCCAGTCCCAGTTGCTTGCGTAGTAAATGGACTGACTTTGGGAACAGCACAGCAAAACTTGCAACAACTGGAAAGATTGTACCCATGGAATCAAACATTGCCCTCAAAAAAGTAAGAAGTATTTCCAATGCATTGTCAGATAATGAAGAAAATGAAGACCAAAGGCACAGGAAAATCAGCAACCAACGAAGAAGATGCTTGAAACTTCCATTTATTCTGGATGTGTTGTTAACATCCACAGAGGGTAGTTGACCCTGATTTTGGGGGAAGTCTGTATCAACATCCTCACCAGGCAAATCCCACACTTCTTTGAGTAATGCGTGTGGTATCCTCTCATGATAAATAAAGTCATTCTCTGAATCACTGTCATCAAAACCATGAACTAAAAGGTGATCTTCCTCTTCTAGATTGTGGATAGGAACACCATCCAAACCTGATAAGTTTAAAAGAGTTATGCATCTGTTATTCTGCACACATTTTTTCAAAAGGTATGCCCACTTCAAAACTGATAGCAGTTGGTGTGCTGCTGTTACAGTATACCTACATGTAGTGCTGAATGGATCATGACAAAATGAAAAATACAGTCAAGCCTTGATTAACTTACACCTCCCAGAAGGGGACAGGAACAACTTCTAAAATACAAAGGCACACTATGAAAGGGACTTGGCCCTTGACCCCAACTAATTTGCATTTTTTTTTGCAGGTGGAGGCAAGAGGACTGCACAATAATTATTATTGTTTTTCTCAAATATCAAATCCACTTTAAACATAGTTTGTTTCTCAAAATTCTTTGTTTGCCCTTATATGATGAAAATAAATACCTATAAAATTAACTGGATAATTGTTAAATAATGTATTTCAAATTTGAAATTTAAGTGAGCATAAATTTTGAAGTGTATCTATAGAGCATTAACACCCTTACTGGTTATAATAATACTGTGGCAATATTTCACATTAGTTTGCTAGTTTTAAATATTTCTTTCTGTTTCATTCAGAATAAGAAGCAAAGAAAATTTATTCTGTGCTACTTTTAGCTACAATGCATTGCCTTGTTTACTATTGACTGAGCCCTAGTCGTAAATGGGAAACCCCCGTTTTATAGTAACTCTACAAAAAGCAAGGTGTGATTCTGAAAATGACAGTTAGGCAATCCTGTTTGATTCCAGTAACCTGTCTCACTAGAATGTGCATCAAAGTAGCGTTAGCCTATACATACAATGATAATTTTATACCTGGTTCAGAAACGCTGCCTCCATCACAACTTGCCATTGCGACTGGTCTTTGAATGCAAACATCGTGCAACTGGTTCACTTCTTCGGCACACATGTCAACATCTGCAGGATCGCTTCTTTCCTCATCTGAAGACTCTTCTTGAATCTGTCGAATGTTCCATTGACCACTTTCTTTGTTGTAGTAAAGATCTAGATGCTGCCTATACGTTCTCGTAGAGACGAAGTCTTGGCAATGCTCGCAGAATTTTCGTTTAGTCGACGACATTGATCGCCAAGAAAAAGAAACTCATGAGCCGTTTAACTGTTTATGTGCAGCGAAATAAAAAACCAATCCAATAATTTTTTTTCTGTAACGATGAACTTGGGCTCTCCGCTCAGCAGGAGAAAGACTGTGCATGCGCTTGCAACAAATAGGAGCAGAGACTGGACAGAGACAGCAGGGATTCAAGCAGAGAGCTGAATGGACCAGTAATAACATCAAATGATCTTCAAAGTAGTTAATAAACAGCTACGACGAGATGATGAATTGCGTTTGAACTTTAGGCGGGATAGTTCTTCGCTTTTCGTCTCGAAGTCCATGGCAAGGCAGATCCCGAGTAAATCAAAACACCGTATCATGGCAGAGAAACCAGCAAGACGTTCCAGAAGCTCTACCACTCGCACTACTACCACTAGTTCCACCAGAAGCTCGAACACTCGTGGTACTACCACTAGTTCCACCAGAACTTCGACCACACCGATCGTTTCACACGGCGTGCAAGCTCGTGGTCGCCTAGAACATCAAGAGGATAACTCGGCAGTCGAGTCGCTGCCAAGAGTTCTAGATGGATTAGGCAGTTTACAAGGATCGATTGAAACTTCTCTGGAATCTACTTCTCTGGAATCCACAGTATCCACCCCTTTGGTGCCGGCCGTCATACCGACGCCAAGAAGAACGTCGACTCCAACAGTATCTCGGGTCCTGGAGCCGCTTTACAGAACCCCGGTTGAAACTGCCAACGATAGTGGGAGCCAAGTTATGGAGCAGTTGCAGGCGTTTTTCGCTAGACAAGGGGATTTTAACAGAAGATTGGAGGAACGGCTCGAGGGACACTTGCAGGGCCAAGGGCGGGAAAACAGACCAACGGCGCAAGCGACGCGGTTTTCGAAGGCGCTTTCAGTAAGTCACCTCTCTTCATAGATTAAGCTTAAGGATAATTAATTTTTCTATTTTTTCCCGCTTTTTTCTCCTTCAGCGACGATGAAAGTCAAAGTCCCAGTATACAATCCCATGTACCTGTAGAGGGTAAATGTACCCACCTCACAGGGAAAAACGGATCAAAGTCCAAGGGTCCATTCTCACCACAAAACTACTATCCTTTGTTTGGAGTTAGACTACACAGTGTTTATTGTTGATGGATGTCTTTCAAAACAAATGTGAACACCATGTTATTACTCTTGATCATTTTTAATATATGTAATAGTAATCCATTGAAAATCCCCAAATGATTATACTAGTTTTGATCTAGAAGGTTTCAAGAGGCCATTTCTGAGTTACAGTGCTTGATCTTGGACAAAGACAGTGTCGGACAATAAAACCACCAAAATTTTTAGGGGTTCAAAATATTGACAGTAGAGTGTAAAACTTATAGTATGTACTTTCTTGGGTGAGGCCATTGCATGTATTCAAGGCTGATAAACTTGATAGAGAAAGAGCTCGGACTAGGCTTTACTAATTCTTTTGTCACTGGAAAGGAAATTTTTTTTCTGAAAAACATAATTTGGGTTAATTCCATTTTGCAGATGTACTATCATTTTTACAGATCTTGTTTCAGACTTATTTGTGTTTTAAAGGCATAAATTTACTGAAGCTATATTCAGCAAAGTGTCTGAAATTTTTTAACTTGCTAACTATTTTTTCAAGGCCCACATCAGGGATGTCTATTCCACTCTGACTAGTGAAGATGGTAAAGATCTTAAATGGGATCTATCCAAAAGGTCAGTTTTAATTTCTCTTAATTTTTTTCAGAATGGGAAGCTAATGTCAATTGAGAGACCAAAATGATGTTTTCATTGTGGTTATAAAGACATTGTATGTTCCACAACAAACAGTCTTAGTAGAGTTAGTTTGACATAAATACTGGACTACTTAAAAGTGTAAGGGAGGTAGTCACATAAAAAAGGGTTCAATGTTGACTTTCCTTGTCAAATATTGTGGACTCTCACAGGCATGTACCACTCAGAGGGTTTAAAAGAGAATTAAGATGACAACACAGTTCTAATTCAGCTTTGATTTGTATTTAGCTTTTCTCATGAAGATAACAGAGCTGTTAATGCAGCAATAATAAATGGAGTCAGAAGTACGGATACTTCCACACCATCAAATGTCATAAGAGGTAAGTGTTTTCAGCTAAAGTGACCAAAGTTGGGTTCAGTAGATCAAATGTATCTGCAATAAACTCTGCATCAAAGGATATAAAAGGAAAGCTATAGTTAAGATTAATTGTTCAATTCTGTTTTTTTTTATGTACTTCCTTCCTTCCTTTCTTTCTTTCTTTTTTTATCTTTCAGGTGATGCTAACAATTTACATATAATTATACATATTTGATTGTAAAATTGCCACATTCTCTCCTTGTTTTCCTTAATGTTGAATATCTAGCCTGCTAGCAGAAATCTCTTCTTTTTCTGTTGGAAAGAGAGTAGGAGACACCTGCTCACTAGCCATGAATATCCTTCCCTAGTATATATATCACACAGAAGAATACTTTGTATACACTGAGTGGCTAACTTGGAGGTGAAAAGCCTTTGCATTTTACCTCTGAGTAAAAACAAAATGGTGTAAAGCAGTGATCACCACTTGTTTTTCTCAATTTGTCAGAAAATTAAATATTTATTAGTGGCTGGTTATTCACTTGCAAAATGTTAACTGTTTTTGTTCATGACAGCTGCCATGAGGGTGCATTTCAAGACCAAAAAAAGACATAAAAAAAACAAAGACACCAACAGACAAGTAGAAGTGCTCCAAGACCAGCGCATTAGGAGTAGGAAGAATACAGTAAGTTTTTAGTTACTTGATAATTTCATTACACAGCTTGAAACAATCCTACTCTAAACTCACAAAATTTTACACCTACCAGTACTACATAACTAATGTAAAATTTATGTTTGGTACAGAAACGTTTGAAACGCTGCAAAGCTCTATTCCAATCTACATCTATTGGGGAAGAGGAAAAAGAGAAATACCACTTGTGCCTCTCATCTGCAGATTACATGTCCTCAGAACATTCAATGTCTGAGGACAACAGTGCTGGGAACAGCAGTTCTGAGGACGAAGCCCCCTCAAAACAAAAGGTGCTATGTAGGAGGCCCCTTATGTGGCGGAGCAGTGAGCTAAACTCTCTGTTTAGCCAATTAGATCGAAAGAGTGCAAGAAAGCGGTCACAGAGGAGTGCCTCTATGATGATTGAGAGGAAAGATGGCCCTCCATCTACTCGAGAGGCACCAGAAGATGCTCCAGCATTTGCTTTGTCATAAACGAAATTTGATTACTATACATTTTAGATACAAAAGAAAAGGTTTTGCTTACCAGTATTGCAACAGCATGACTTACAGAAGTTCAAAAGTAAAAGACTCACTGAGTTTGGCCATTTGTTCACTGTTCTTATGTTAGACATGTATCTAGAATGTAGTATTGATATGAATATTGCAATCAACAATCCATCACTGAGGTGAAAAAAAAGCGTGCCAAAACAAGTTTTAGAAACTTTAGAGTGTTCTTTACTTAAATGGTGGTTTCCTTACAACAAGGCAAATACTGGAGCATCTTGTGGTTTTCAGGAATATCATTTGTAAAATATTTAGTTGAGGTTTAGGCACTTATGCTTTAAATGTGTGGCAGAAATTTTCATAAAGCTCATTTGGTTTCTTTTTTTGTTACTGTTCAGTGTAGCTTTCAAACATTTTTATCCGCTTTTCAATTTTTTTAGAACTTGTAGAAAGTAATTTCGAAAATATCAGAGAATGCCATCATAGATATTGTTACAGTTAAAAATTTAAATGATAAAAATAATGTGGTATGATAGCATGCATAAATACTCAATTTACTTTCTTACATACAGCTTGGAGTAAATATTGGAAAAAAAGTAATATATGCATAAGTGAATCATCCAAGAATTTTCAAACAAACAACTTATTACCAAATTGAAAAATGATATAAATAAAATATCTTAAAACGTTATTGGTAGCTATATGTCAGTACTCAAACCTACTTTAAGATCAATGCTGTTTATATCAGAAGTTATAAGTCAAGTTATGTTTTTGTGGTCCAATTGAACAAAGACAAATAAACTATTTAAAAAGTAATTGACTGGTTAGTTCTAAAACCTAATATATAGATCTATACTATTTATAAAAGTGGTTCTAAATATTCTGTTAACCCCAGTAAGCTGAAGTTGACACTCCCTTATAAGCAAAGTTAGATGTTTGTTCTCATTTGCTTATCTCAGCAAACTTATTCGGTACTGAGAATTTGATCATGTTTGCTATACAGAGCGAAGTTGGTCAATGCTTTTTTGGTCAAGAGTTTGCTCACATTTACCATACCAAGCAAACTGGGTCAAACTTTTGATTTTGTCAACATTTTATTATCTGAGCAAACTTATTCAATACTAACAATTTGATCATATTTGCCATACGGAGCAAACTTGCTCAATACCAAGAATTTGCCAGCAATTACCTGCTTATGCAAACCTCATCAATTCTACGAGTTTGATCATGTTTGCTGATCCAAATAAACACTCCAAAATTACGCTTTTGAGCACATTTACAGCGTTTTGTGAACTTGCTGGTAATCATAAGTTTGCATGATTTTACATCGGAAGCAAACGTGGCGCAAAAAAAGAGATCTGCTCATAAATTTGCCTCGTATGTAAACAGGCATCAAATAAACACATTTACATCCACATTTGCCCCATGGGCAAATGAAACGAAAATTCATAGCTGCACAATACTTTTGTGCAAGAGTGGAAATCTTTGACAAATGTGGCATTTACCATCTTTGCTACGGGTAACAAATGTGGTGTAAAATCGATCTTTGTTCTTTGGCAAACTGAGGCAAATATGTACAAATGTGGTATTTACTTCAGTTTTGCTATAGATTTGCTACCAACGTAAATCCATTTTTTCGTCCAGTGTTATGAACACTACTTAAGCAGTAGTGAAAATAAAGCCTTAAAAAGTTAGGCTGGTATCGGATTTGAACCTATGACCTCTGCGATACCGGTGCAGTGCTCTACCAACTGAGCTAACGAGCCAATTAGGACTGATCATTTTTTCAGTCCCAGCCTATCGTAGGACATGTCAGTCGTTGACGTTCAAAAAATTAAATTGCTTACATTAGAATTTCTCGTGTTCCTGTGTTCAGTCAGTCTTGTACCAGTTGAGGCTAACCTTTTCCCAAAACTGACTAGTAAACGGCACGAAAACGAGGCAAAATTTTCCATCAGCACATGTCTAAAATCAAATCGGCATCTGAGCCTTTGAATAATGAATCCCAATATGGTGAGTCTAAACTTTCTTGAACCTTTTCTGGTGGATTTCAGGTCGCATATCTGGGTGTTGTTTTTTCGCTTTCAGTCTAACGACCTTAGATACGAGAGTCTCAATGGGGTCGAAGGATTCCCTCAAACAAAAGGAAATAAAAAAAACCATAGGCAAGACATGACAAGAAAATCAATCCATATCAGAGAACTTCTCGTATCCAGATTATAACCGTGCGGGGAATGGGCCAAACCCAAGATTGATTAATAAAAACGAGAATCATTATATTTGATTGTAATACCATTTGTCTGTTAAGAGGATCCACAGTATACGGTCCTCAGAGCCCATTTTCATCGGTGCTGTAAAGCACGACCATAGGTTTCTTATCATAAAAAAGCTTGTGGTTTTTCGTCGTATTTAATCACACTTTCATCAAAAGAGAAAAATAATCGTTTATCTCACGATGTGGCCACTTCGGATGTGGATCGCGACTCTTTCACTGCTTACTGCTTGTCTACTTTAAGCGACGAGGTCTGGATCGGGTAAGCGTAACCTTTATGCTGTTGTGCATTACGATGCACAACAGCAACGAAGATTCTGTAATGCAGATAACATAACTAGACATACAGATAGTGAAAATCTCATGACAGAATTTTACATTGGCGAGTTTTCCTTTTAAATCGGTGCCGTTGTCAAGTTTTGCTTTCAAACGTATCGGAGAACGGTTTGAGTCTTCCTCAACAATTGCTTTTGCCAAAGTAAACGTGCGAACGACGTTCCGGCCCAACGAGACAATCGGAAAAAGGCAGAGAGAGTCATTGATGTATACAACGGAAAAAAATAACACATGTTTTAAGTTCGCCTAACCAGTGCAACGGACACGGGGTGTTGTGCACTGGAGTTCGGGGATGTCCGGAGTGTCAACCGCAGTGTAGGAATCGACAACACAAGTTGATTCAACAACATTTAATGCTATCGTTTGAGTATCGTACACATGCGGTGGAAACTGAGAAAAGGAAATTGTAATGTACAAGATCAAAACATGGGCTGAGACTAGTTACAAAACAAGCGAGGTCGAAAAGAAAAGGAAACTAAATACAACAGGCTGGAACCTACTTCTGATCCTGTCTTTAAGGGCTTAGAGAAACTGCAACGTTACGTAATTGGAACAATCTTGTGTAAAAAGAAGCTCTGATCTATCTCCGTCGATCTCCTAACTCCAACTGACTCGACACTTAAGGGGCGTGCCACTATAAGGGTATAGTTCACGCATACAATTGCAAACTGGTTTATCAGGAATGCTAGCTAAGTAGGTAATTAAAAGTGTGAAGAATAGTACACTAGGAAAATTGGGGCGTAAACTTGACAAAGAAACAAAACAGAACTTTTTCCCTACTTTAAATCAAAACAAAACGATTACGTAATCAAAGTCTTCTTCGAATGTTCGTTACATTTAAGATTTTCGAAATAGGCTTTTTTATTTATCACTGAATCTTTCTGAATCCAATTGTAACTTTTGAATAAACTTTTCGCGTTTTTCTCTTGGTTTCAATACACCAAAATGTAACCCATGGCCTTAATGTGTTTATCTCCATTATCCGGTGAAATCGAAGCCTCGTTTCCACATGTGTTAGAGTCATCATATTGCCCTCCTGTACCAAACCCAATCCTGGAGTCGCAAGAATTGCAGTGATCCTGGTTGTTAGTAGCTATTCCGATTCTTGCTTTGGAAAAAAAAGACCCACCACAGATAACATTGAACCCTTCTATGTTACAGTAACGCTTCAACGAGGCCTCTGAGCCAAAAAGCTTCTTCCACGTGTTACGACCCAATGAGGTGTTTTGGTATTTTCCGTCAGCGATCAATGAGTAAAGAGAGCTGGCCTTCGTATTGATTACAATAAATCTGATCTGTTCACCGATCTTCATACCGAGACAGATCTTGGAGAAGGACGTGTCCCAGTAAGTAGGCAACTTGGTCTCTTGTGAGTCGAATCCAGTCTCCCCTCCAGCAGTGTTGTATTCAGTTTTATCACTCCAGTAACCAGAATCATAGTGAAAGGTACTCTGGGAGAATAATTTATAATATGATATAAATTCATTACTGCTTTTTTAATTATCCACCATATCCTCCTGATCGTTTTTAGAAAGTTTGAGACGATCCCTCCCCCCAACCCATTTGACATAAAGTATCTACCCCTTAGTCAAGGAGATGTCAGCCAGAGACATGAACAGAGAGCGGAAGTCGCCCTCGTTGTCAATAAGTCAGTCAGCACCTGTGGAGAAATATCTCTCAAGTGGTCGATCATGGCACGCAATCGATAAAAAATCGATTCCGCATGGTACCTTGTTGCCGTTAATCTTCATGACTGGCGTCCATCCTCCATGTCCACATCCAAAATCTCCCATGTGACAGAGAACTGTCGTTGGCTGTGAGCCCAGATGAAGGGAAACCAGTTTACTCGTATTTGATCTGTTAAAGTTGAGTTCGAGAAGGTAAGGAAGTAATTATTTATCTTCATTAAACAAATTTATAACATTAATATTTTCGCGGTAAACTCTATGAAATATTATTTGCTGGTCCAAAGGGATTCCAACCACCTGGTCACATCTGTGTCTTCAGCGTCATAGGTGAGGAAATTACAAGATAAATCGGTTTAAAAGAGCAAGCAGTTATGGTAACTTACTTGGATGCATCATATACCTCCTTGCATGATTTTACAGCTGGAAGATAAAAAGATGATCTGAGAAATACATTATATCGCTAGGAACGGAAAAGAAGTGAAAAGTGTGGTTTTTAAGCAAAAGCCTCGAAGTGAATGTGTTCGAGCTCATGTTAGGGTTTGTATTCGAAATGGACTTCGAGTTGGTGTCTCAAGTTATGTCTCTAGTAAATAGTTTAGTCAATTCAATTTAAACGCAGGTTGATGGTTCAATGCCGAACAGCAAAACTTTTTTAGAGTCTGAGATGTGGGAAGAGTCTTCATCAGCTCCAA